TTGACACGATGGCAACGGGTAAATTCAAGTTAGGCCGCCCGAGCGTGATTAAAAATACATAGGACCGTGAGCGAAGAGATCGTGCGAATAGATTTTTAATCGAGTAGGATTGAAAGGACGGGAAGAGCAGAAGAGTAGCGATAGCTGTTGCAGGAATATCTAAGGAGCTGTAATAGAGGCTGATGGGAATCAAGTTTTCAAAGATAAGATCTTCGGATGTAATAAGAGATAGAGCAATTGCCTTCGCTGTCGGATCTCTCGAACGCACGAAAATCTGATAGGCCGTTTCGGGATTACTTATTTGAAAATGGAAGCCGATTATTTTACAACGGGCTTATTACTTACGCGCTAAATGCTTGTACGTTCTATTTTGAAGCGATAGGTAGGAAGAAAAAAAAAAAAATCCTGTTATCTTTCACCTTTCATTACAGTTCGACCTTAACCCCTGTCTACAGCGTTTGTTCGTTATTTAGTCACCGACCCCTATTCTTCTCGTTTCTCCTTCCTTCGTCATTAAGGACGTGACATTTCTAGCGTTTCTCGCTGCTGCTTTCTTTTCCTATAGATCTTTTTATAAAACGTCTTTTTGCATACGTTTCTTCGAGAATTTTCGGCGAGAAGTTCCGGCAATTTACCTTGCTCTTGTTTTCTTTTTGTCGCAGATGGAAGACGAGGGTAATCACGGCAACGACGACACCAGATGCTTCATCCTGTCGACCTTGGCCGCACTGCAGTGGTCCCGAGTTTCCTGCGTACTCTGTCGTTCGCCTATGCTCGTTTTCGACAGGTATCCTTTAGTGGACGGTACGTTCTTCCTGTCACCGAGGCAACATTCACCCGCTTGTGCAGAGGTAACTTCAATCTTCGAGTAATCTTTTGGTATTTCTTCAGCTAGCCAGTTAGGTTATGCGATTAATCGTAACGACAATCGGATGTCGAATTTGGAGGCACCAAGCCAAACACCGTGAACTCTAATCAATCTGATCCGCCGTTCCAACGACCGTTGTTTCAGGTGAAGGTCGAAGGTCGTACGCAATTCTTGTCAGCGGTGTGCATGAGTTGCCTGGAAGGCAGCGGTGGCCAGCCTGTTCGTTGTCGTTGCTGCACTCAGCCGTGGGACGGATCTAGTTTAGTTCTTGGAACGATGTACAGCTACGATATCTTTGCTGCCATGCCCTGTTGCACGGAGCGACTCAAGGTAAGCCGACTCTTTTCCTATCGGTTAGAAGAAATAACGCTGTTCAGTAATCACCTAATCACCTAATTAAAAAGATTTCGTGCAAACGAGGATACACGGCAGATATATTTAACGTTAGAATACGCGATTGTTTGTTACAGTGCAACAGCTGCCAGAAACCTCTGATCTATCCGCACCAACGGTTGAATTTCTATTCGGACTACAGCCGTGTTTTCGCCTGCCCGCATTGCAGAGCCGTGGACGCCCATTTCGTGAAACCGCTCTCGATCTGCTTCACCCGCGAGCAGTTTCAGCTTTACAGCCAGTGGCCGTAACCATTAGAGAACTTAGCTAACCGGCGTCCAAGCACCTCGGCTGACCCGTGTCCCCACTTCTTCGACCCATTGATCTCTCTACTGCGAGCGACCTTGCTCTAGATTCTAGATCCTCCATCAACACCACTCGTCGATCATTTTAATTCGTTACCGCAACCTCATCGATTGGAAGAAAGAGTACGAAGCGCCGAATTTACTCCAGCACCTGACACTTTGCTCTGGTCTCGCCTTCATTCGAGTCCAAAAAATATTTATTTTTCCTTTGTGAAACAGATCAATTTTTAAGTTACTCTTTTTTACTTTACTCTTTTCTTTTCAGATCGGACAAGTACGCGATACATTTCGATTTCGAAGCTCGCGTTCGTAATTCGATAGATCAACAATACCGAGAGTCGTTCGAAACCGAAATTTCTCCGATACTTGTCCTCTATTATCAACGAAATCATCGAGTTCGAAGCGAAATTTTCTTTTTCTTCTTTTCTCTTCTTTGTTGCTCGATTCGAATCAACGACGAAGAGGATAATACCTTGGTAGCGGATGGAGGACCGGAAGTATGTCAGGTACCGGATCAATTTTTGTAACAGCGATATCGTTTAAGCTTTTTCTTTTTACTATGTCGACAGTACGGTTATGTATGTACGTTAGTAGAACGCGAAGGACGGTTACGAGCTCGTCGATGGGTTCGATCGACGAGTCTCGACGACGCGTATCGAGGCCCATTACCGATTCGACGAAACTCGAATTCGTCGACAAGAATCCAGGCTAAGGATTATCGTCAGTATTATCGATAAGAACGAGAAGAAAAACGAAACGAGACTTTGTTCTCCCTATAAATTTCGCTTTTGTGTTAGCAAAAATTTATGCGTAGGAATTGTATTTTCTAGCAAAAGAAACAACGCGAGTTTCTTTCCGTTTTCGTTTAGAATATTTTTCGCGCGTCTATTAGCGGAATTGAAACTGCGAGTTTGACAACAGATGCAAGAATTCTTTAGTAATAGTAGGATAGGTGGTTGTAAATTAATTTCATTCGAAAAAGTATATCGTTGCGCCTCCGATTTTTTTATCGTCGTGCTTTAGCTGATAAGAAAGTTCGAACAATTACGTTTAAATTGAAGAAATGTTCCGCGATCGCGTCGTCGACGCGTCCGTCCCATTTCCGCGCTCGAACCGAACGATTTTTTCTTCCGATCGTTCGATGATCGTGTTATCGTCCCTCGCGTTCCCATAAATCGCGTCGCGTTCAAGGGTGGATTAAGAGAAAGGATTGCGGAGACAAAAGATAAAACGACGAGAACGATAATATTATGAAATATATATATATGACGTTAGGACGCGGAAATGGAAAAGAAATAAACAAAAAAAGTCAGACTTCCCTTTCTTTTGTACGAATAAAGTAGGTATGTACGTGAAAATGGAAAAAGGAAAAAAAGATAATGACGATGAGGAAAAAGCGCCACTCTTAAAAGAACAATGAGGGGGGAAGAGATATTATGAACTATCGTTTGTTACTTAGATAATCGAGAACGTTGTTTTTTTTACATTTTATTAGTTTATACGTTTACGGCGGCCATGTTGATTTTGTTTAAGGATCTACGACTCATTCGATGGGTTTCACGTTGATCGGCCGGGCGCCCGACGACTTTCCAAGCTTCGACAAATCCGCTCTCCTTCCCTATTCCCCGATACTCGGACAATAATTTTAGTCGTCCACGAACCGATTATACGAACGTTAAGATTTTACTTTTATTTTCGTCTCCTCGTTTCCTCTTGATTTTAACACGCGTGTTCCTCTCGTAAACCATCGAAGCGCGATCGGAAGTTGCGGGCGCCCGAGGTAGCCAGTGTAAATACGTAATTAAGAGCGAGAGAGGCGAGAATGAGAAACACGAAACATTCGAGAGGTAGGTTGCTAGAGAGAGCGAGAGAAAGAGGGGGAGAGAGAGAGAGAGAGAGTGTGTGTGTGTGTGTGCGTGTGAGCGCGAGAGAGAATAAAAGGACGAAAGAAAAAGTGGAAAATCTTGGTTCTTTCTGGCGATGCTGGTCGTTGCTGTCCATCAATAGCGGCCGTCCCACAAACAGACCGCCCACCGTTTTTCCCAAGGTAGTATAGTCGATCGTGTACCTTCTTTATGTTACTGCGATTTAAGAAAAAGGACAAAAAAATGATACAAGGAAGAAAAAGAGTATACTTAATCCATTTATACGTCGGGAAGTAAGTGTATTTAGGAGATTTTATATATTGTCCCAGTAGTATTTTAGCGAAAATTCGATTCTCTCGAACGATTTTGATTAGCGAATTCTTGCGTTCGCGTGTATGATCGTGCGAATGACAGCGCGTGGTTGTGTTTTTATTTCTCCGTTCGTTTTCCAGAGGAACGTTCGAGAAAGAGTGCTTGGCATATTCGAGGGAATTCGTGAAATCGAGCACGCTACGAATACGGTTTGTTGAAAGTCGTGGTCAAACTTGAAAAGTCAGTACTAAATAGCAAGCAGGATTATAAGAGGTACGACGAAAATTTGTGATTCCAATTTCGAACCCTCTATTTCGATGCTCGAGAAAGGTTAAGTCTTGTTTGTTTCGTAGCGTACCGTATATCCATGCTGGAAGTTTGATCGCAATTTCGTTCAACGCATCGTGTACGATTTAATCGACGAGAGAATATAATAATCGATTGAGTGACGGAGCGTGCGAATTAGCGTGAATCGATCGAGAGAAAGATGCAAAGCACAAGTGGAGGGTGAACAGGTGTTCGAGTGCGAGGAAGAAGGAGAGAGACTCGAAAGAAGAGGAATATACAGCGAAAGGAGATACCGCGTATTCGCGCGGAATCCTTCGATTTGAATAGCCAAAAAGAAAATAAAGAAAAAAATACGAAAAAAAAAAAAATAAACAGAAAAGAAATAGGTGAAGCTAACGAAGCGTGCGTTATCACCGTTCGATTTAATGCCACGAAACCGCGTTTCTCATGTTCAGTTTTTTCGTTTCCTTCGTCGTTTTGTTTCTCGCGTCGCAGCCAACGACGAAAAGAGAGACGTATGCGCGCGAAAGAAATCGTCTCTCGTTACGTTTTTCTCAGAGTGCCAAATATCGCATAAGACAAAAGTAGAGGAGAAGAAGAAATAAGGTATTTCTAATTTATTTTCCGCACGGTGGTATCTTTCGATCGCGTTTTCTTAGCTTTTTTCCTCGCTTTTCGTTCGAGACACAACACGCAAGCGGACAACGAAAGTTTTTCGCTACTCGAGAAACTTGTCGGTCGTTCGTTTTTTTCGGTGGCCGGTGATCGGTGATCGGATGCACGCGTGTCGCGTGCAATTCGTTACCGTTCGGTTTTCAAGTTTAACAAAAGAATCCTGGCGTTCTGGACACCCTCGAGGAAGAGGATCGGTCGTTTGATCGCGCGCGTATCCGACAACAAACTTTTGTACTCCCTACCGTTTTCAATTTTCGCTACGTGATTGTTCGCGTTGTCGAGCGTATAGTAGGTACCGCGCGATATATTTAGACATTCATCGGCTCATTTCAGTTCCTACCGCGACTCGATCGACGCTTGGAACGAAGGAAACGATCTTACGGAGTTTCTCTCTCGACGTGGAAATCGGACCGCGATCGCGTGTTTTTTCTTTCTTTCTTTCGTTCGTTCGTTCGTTCGAACGAGCGTAACTTTTTTCGAGCATCCGATTCGATTCGTAAAGAAAGTTAGTCGGTTTTAACGCGTCGACGTACCGATGTATCCGCGAATCGTTACGCGAACAGAACTGCACGAATGTAAGAAGAGATTCTGGAAAAAAACACAGGGATTATCGATAAGCGAGAGAGGTACGTTTCGACGACTAAGAATCGTCGTTTAACCCTTGTCACTTCAACACTTGTATTAGAAACGTAACGATAAACGCAACAAAGTATGTTCGAGTTTCTAATTTTTCGAATTGTCCGGTATCGAAATCCCTGAATCGTGAAATTCTCGTATTTCTGTCCGTAATAAACGCCCGCGGTTTCGCTTTGACCGCGCGTGAAAAAAACTCGTGACGATCGGTACATATCGCCAACGCTATTAATATTTACCTCGCCCGTTCGATATTCGAAGAGCGGAATAAGTAAGGCTGTAAGTGCCAAAAGTAAACTTTCGTGGAAATTTTGTTTATTCGTCGAAATATTATTTATCTGGAAAATGTATGAAAATTTGTTTACTATATGTATCACGTTAATTTGTATAATATATTTTTGTAAAATAGAAAGATTGAATTGGAGTGGAAAGGGTTAATTTTCTCGACGGTACGTCGACGCACAGGACGCATTCGCTCCGGTAATGGCTAAGTCTAAGGAACGTTAAAGTTCTTTTCGATTCCAAGTTACAGTCGCCCTATGACGGTTCGCTAATTTGTCGCCTAATCCTCGTGGAGCAAAGGTTTTTGATGGACGGGTCGCGAGGAGCAGTAGCAACGACGATTTTCTTTCTCCGGTTGAAAGCAAAGCATCTACCTCGATCCACGAAAACGCTGGAGAAGAGAATTCGATCGTGCGGGAAGAAGACATTTTTCCACCTGTCGAGGGTGTTTCCGAATTTTCGAAAACAATTAATTAATGATATTCCACGCGATCCGTGCAACATTGCCATCCCGATCGAGCGAACACGGTTTTCTATGTCAGTGTTTTTATGAACGAGAGAAACGGGGAGTTCGTGAACGCGACTCGTTCGATCGGAGGTGTCGCCGCTCCTACAACTTGAGGAAAGAAAGAAGATCCGTTCGATCGCGTTCACGTTCTTCGCGCGCGTGTGTATCGTATCGTCTGTCGTAATATATCGTGTCCGTGAATATTCTAATAATAAATAATTAATTAATCGAATAGCACATCTATATGGCACGTTGAGGGGATGGGACTAAAGGTTATAAAGCGTGGCTAAGGGGTGGGGACTTGTACACAATGGGGGAGGGACAAACGACAAAATAAGAAAAAGAAGCAAACGCGAAAAACATAAAAAGGGGATGTTCGGGAGATTGGAATTAACAGAGAGAGGTTATGAATGGTTGAACTATGAATAGAGTTTAGCATATAGTCATTATGAAGACGGAAGAGAGGCGAAGAAAGAATAAGAGTAAGAGAGGATGGGAGGAGAGGTTTTGAAATCATCGATAAATAGTAAGTTTATAGAAACGAACGGTGTTTTTCAGGTTTATAGTTAAGAGAAAAAACTTGCTTTGTTTCGCACGTCGAACGGCTTCAGTCGACGCCCAAAGAAGATATCCTTGAATTTCGTTGAATATATATTTTAGAGACTCGGGCCTCTAAACTCGTCCCGTGTCGCCGCGAATTTTCCTTCCTTCCTTCCTTCCTTCCTTTTTTCCTTCTTTCTTTCGCCGCATCTTTCAAATCCGACGATACGAAGGAGAAAGAGCGTATTTTCGTGGAAGGAAGAAAGAAGCGCGTCGAGCGGACGAGGAACGTTCTAGTGATAGGGTACCGTATCCGTGTCCGTATTTAGTGGATGCTCGACGATGGGAATAAAACGAGAAAGGAGAAAGAAAGAAATTTTATCCTGCAATTTATATATCGGTTGTTCTTCGAGACGTTCTTTTCATACGGTTTCATATAATCTGAGAAAATAAAGTATATTATAAATATATATATATATGAAAATAAATATGAAATATTATATATATATATATATATATATGAGTCTACGTGTTTAAGGATCGGTTTTTTCGTCTTTTAGCGTGTAAGATTCTCTTTACAGCTGTGCTAGACAACTATAGGTAATACACTATATATTACATAAACGAACATATTTATGGTAAGAAGAAATACGAACGCATATTATATGCGTGGGCCGACGCCGCGCACGATCAGAAGGCACGTTTTCACTTTCTTCGGAGAATTTAGAATTCAAACACGACTCTTTCGCGATATCGGATCTTAGCGGAGTCTTCTCGTCATTTCACCTTAAGAGGGGCTGTTACCTCGCGAATGTTACATTTTCGAATACGGGGGCTTTCAAATTTTCGCGTTCCTCGATTGAAAAATTTCGAAAGTTCCGCGTTTGAAAATTTCGACATCTCGAAAGAAGAAAAGGAACAACTCGTTCGACACGCTGCGTAGCGAAACTGTCGTATCATGATTAAACTTACGGTACAAGTTTTCCGTTGTCACGATCGAACGACCGCGCGAAGATTAAAAAAGGAAGCGTGCACGGTGATCTTTTATTTCAGTTCACGAGAGAAACGCAATAATTTCACCTATTTATTTACGAAGACAATAAAATTCAATTCCGACTCGTGTAATATCTCGAAGAGTTTGAAAGTCCTGTAAGCGTTGTAAGAGGGAACACCGGGCACGAATTCGAAAGAAAATCGCCGCGCGATCGTTCGATGCAGTGTGCGGGAGTCGCGCGTCGGCGACATCTAACACACGCGAATACACGCAACATGTAGGAACACACGTTCGTAAGGACACAGCAACGCGTATACGTTCAGGTCGATGTTCTTTTAGTAATCGTAATTGCGAGCCTCGCAAATCGCGATCAGAAGCGCGTTCGAGCTTTTTATCATAAAATAGCGCGACGTGGCGCGGCACGGTGCAACACCGTTTGCTCGTTAACGTTTCACCGAGCACGACGGCTCGTTCGTTAGTCCATTTTTAATTTCATCTCTTCTTCCGTAGATCCCGAGTTTCCGTGCACCAGCGATTTTCCTCTTTTCTGTACCGTCTCTTCTGAAAAATCAGCAGGAGGGGCCAAGGCGTTTGCAAATTCGTTTCTTCGTACTTTCATCGGCATCGATCTCGCTTCGTTGCAGACGATTCTATGACATTGAAATTTTCATTGGTAACATTTAGAAATTGTACATTTACCAGTATATTTACTTCGGCTTCTCAATATTGCAGATAGTAACATATTCGAAATTGCACGAAAGAAACGCGTTAAGGGATATTCGGAAGAAGGTAGACGCGAAATGGTGATAATTTGTTGTGATCGGTACAGGAAAACGGCGCCCTCCAGCGTCGAGTTGCTATTAAGTGACGTATTACTCTATCCATATACGGTGCAACAGCCTCCTCTCGAGCGATTATCTTAGTAAAATCGAACCTAGAGTTTCCAATCTCCGACTGCTCGTGGGTCGTTATTGCACCGTTTAGTTTTCTTTCAACGTCTTCTCAATTCGCGCGTAGTAGCTTTCGATGACGTTCTGTTTTTATTTACCTCGGTCAATCGTACAATGACGTCCTTCATCGGAAGTCAACTTCTTTTTTCGCAGCCAAGAATAATTCATAATTTATATTATCGTTACGCGGTATATCTCTTAGATATATTGCGGTTACGTTACGTTCCGCGTGTAGTTCCGATCGTACTCGCTTCTCTTCGTAGTCGTTAATTAACCGAACAATAATCGTTCTTTTTTTTTTTTTCAACGTTTTTGACGGTCGATGGTTCGTTTCTGTTCGTTTTCTCCATTCGATTGTTCTCTGGAAGCGTAATTTAGCATCCTCGAGGTTCCTAATTCATCATACGTTCGAGACGCGTCGATACCTTAGACGCGATTATTTCTTCGCTCGTTTTCGCTCATTCGTCTCGGGACACTAAGCCAGTAATATTTGATTATATTACTTCTAGAAAATTGCAAGTATACGATTATTTTACGTCTTTCGTTCGATGAGAGAAATTTCATATTTAAAGATCCGAGACGAAGCGATATAGAAACGAGTTAATAGGAAATCAACAACGAAGTCCGACGCTTCCAGCGTAGAGAGGTACGTTTAGTTTGACGGGTGAACTGCATCGATTCAACGTTTCTATGTACATCGATCGAGTAGGCCGCTAGCATTTATTTAACATGAAACATAGCCACGCGAGAAGTATTTTTCTTTCTTGTCTATTTTGCGCCGCGTATAGCGCCGCGTGTCGTGTCACGTCGCTGGACGCGTTCGAAGCGATGCGAAACATCGTCGCCTATTCTTTCTTTATTTCCATTTCTTTCCTTCGATTCGCGAAATTAACACGTTTTCGAACACGTTAGCTAGAGAAAAGTCAACGTAGCCGCGTTTCGATAAATTACCAAAAACGTAAGCGACGTATTTAAATGATTTTCTTCATGGTCTTCGTGACGAGTCCACGATGTTCCGGGTATTTTCTTCGTGTCCCGAATCCTTCTGATTTATTCTTAGGCACGGAAAGAGTCAGGGGAATGGATGCGAGTCAACGTAAACGAGTGATACGAAGCGAGTGAGAGAGCGAACGAGCGAGTGACAGAGAAAAAGAGAGAAAGAGAGAGAGAGAGCAAAGATCGAGCGTGGAAGAGAAAGAAGGAGGTAAAGGATAGGAAACATTTAATCGAATCGCGCCACGACATACGCGACTTTTTATCGAAAGACGTACAAAGTGAGAAAGATTAGAGAGAAAGTAATCGAGAAGAGAGAAGCAAGCAAGATGTGTGTGCATACTAGTTAACACGAATGAAAAGGAGAGAAAAATTGACCGTCGCGAACGCGGAACCGGAAGGAGTAGTTTTTTTACGTATTTTCTCTAAAAATTATAGAGATACGATAAATTTTGTCAGTACCGTATTGCCTACGCGCAATTTCTAGAGAGATAACGAACAAGTACGACAGAATTTTCATTTGTAAGCAACGATGAAATTAGAGAAATTCGCGAATCGTAATAAAATGCGCGGTATGCCTGTACTTTATCGAGAGCGATAACGAAGGTACGCGTCGTATATCCCGGTTGCCGAACAATCCTTTCGGTTTCGCGCGTCCCGAGTCCCGATTAAGTTTGACAGATTATTATAAATCTCAGCTCCCTCCCTTTTATAGCTAACACGCTGACGATTCGAAATCCACTGTTTTTTCCATGCCCAATACGAGAAACGGAAGAGCAGCGCTAAAGAAAGGAAAGATAAATAAATTCGATATCCAATGGAAATTCAATCCTGTAAGGTGATGCGTGTAATTGAAATGTACCTTTGCTGAAAAATATGGTATTGTTAATACTGAACGTGTTACGAACGACGATGAAATTTTATCGAGAGCGCTACTGGAGAGCGATTTTGTTTTTTCTGGCGAAAGATACTTTTTCGTACGCGTCTTGTCTCTCGACCCACGGATTCCTTCGGAAAAGCTCAAAGAAATTTTATTGTTAGCGAAAGGAAAGGAACGACGATGGGAAAGGAAAGAAAAGAAAAGAAAAGAAAAAGGGGAATCTTTTCTTCGAAGGATGTATTTTATGACCACCTGTTTCGTCCACTTGAACGATGTCGCAGGAACATTTCGGGAGAATAAAAATGATTTTTATACGGTGTTTCTTGATCGAGAGACAAGGCTGACGATCGCCGACCACGCAAATAGTACACACACCGGCTGTCTTTCACACTGTGCGATCGTAGAAGCCAGACTTCCAGCGAATCGAACAAGTTTCACGCTCGAACAACCAGTGTCGAACACGAATCTTCGTCTCCGAATGAAATATAAGAGTGTATTTAAATAATTTCTCTATCTCTCGGCGGAAGTTCACGCGGTTTTATTAGAAATTCTCGTTTCAACCGTGTTTCGAATTACTATCCAACAAGAGGTTAACGGTAATTCCGAAATCTATCGTTGTTTCGGGGTTGGTTGTTCAGGCGTCGAAGGAGAACATCTACGCGATAGTTGCTTACCGAAATTTAACGGAACGACGCCTCCCAACGTGTTTCGGTTCGAACTGATTTTCGTGACGAAGAATTTTCATGGCGGTGATTAAACGTTTCGTTGACGATTGAAACGGAATAACTCTCGAGGACGACGAAGTTCGCTAAATCGCGGGAGTCTGGCTGTAATCGAGTCGATCGAGGATAGGTTGGCTTAAGGTACAAATGTACATAGGAACATAACGTTGTTATTTAACCTGATAACACCCCTGTTCCTCTTCGTTGTCTCGCGCCTTTCGAACGCATCGAACAACGCTGTTTCTAAAAGACATTATATTTCTCGAGGTTAGAAAAGAAAGAAGAAAATTATCCAGAATCGAGTTTGCTCGAAGAACGAGAGACAGCGAAGGAAAGGGGAAAGGTGGTTGCGAAGCAGAGAAGGGAAAAGGCGGATAAAAGAATCGATCAATTAATCGACGCGTAGCTGCGTTAGACAATTGGTTCACGGCTCTTCCTCCTTCCTTTTTCGTCGTTTGTCCCTGTCGGGGATTTATTTCCTTTCAACCTACCACCATCACCGTACATTTTATTTCCCCTTGGTGGATGGCCCGGTTTTTACGAGCCGTGATCCGATCGATCGACGCTCAGGGAAGAAGAGAGCGAACGAGTCTCGTTACGGGAACGAAAGCAACGAGGAATTCTATAAGCGAGAAACATCAAATACTACGTAGACTCGCAACATTTACGCGCATCGGTACGCGTGTAGCTTCTTTTCTTATTCGTCGCGTACGATGGTTTAATTTTCGCTTCGCTTCGTTTTTGTTTTCTGCCTCGAACTCGCGTGTTCGTCCGACATCCCTCCGCTCTTTCGTCAGCGCCTCGCTCGAGCATCGTTCGGCGAGTTAAAAGTCTTCGAGAAGCAGACCGACGTTAACGAATCGTAGAAAATTCCAAAATTCAAATGCTCCAACAGCTATATTCAGGAATATATGATCGAAGAAATGGAAGAAAACGCTGGCGAAAGAGAAGGAGACAAAGATTCGACGAAAGGACGACGATGGACGCGCGTGTAACGATCGTGATTAAGCTTTCGCGATCGAGATGCTTGTAATTAATCGTAAGCTACCGATAGGCTGACACCGCGAAGTATCGAAACTCGTCTCACAGGCAATTTCCTCATAAAGTATAAACCGTTGTGTCTGAATGGCGTGTGGATGTACTATCGGCTACCCTCCCCTTCGTACAGTTAACCGAGTCCACCTTATAATCTCTCTGTGTACATATACATATATACGCGTAATACGTATTCATAATCGTGTGTATCGCTCCCTTAATTACTATTATAGTAGCTTCGAAGCTACTGTCGCGTTTATCCGATAGATTCTCGGCAGAACGTGCACGGATGATCATTGAAAGGAGCAGAGTAGAGGAAGATTCGCCGATGGCCACCTCGATGATCTCTCGAAACGCTCTCTTCTTTCGGTCGTAGCTTTAGAATCGCAATAAAATGTCCGTGAATGTAAATATTAACGCGAGGAATATCGAGTATTTGTGCACGTCGAAAGCTCGAAAGATCTTCGAGGTAGTCAGCAGCGGTTTCCAACGTCGGAACACGGACGCTTGTTCGTAACAACTAACAAAGATGATTTTTCTAAGCGCATACGCCACGAACTGTCCACTGACGTAACCAGGCAGCGATCAGAACGAACATAGATCGCGTGTCGATACATCGTGTAACGATACGACAAATGCGCTGGTTACGCCAACGGAGAAGCAGCTTAGTCGATCGTACAAAGAGCGGCGGGAGGAGAAAAATTGATTCACTGTAATTCAACACCAATAGAGCGACGTGTTTTCGCTTTGTTCGTTTCGTTAATTCGAATCGAATCGTTCGGTTGTTTGACGCGCGCGGATCCGCGGCGAGAGCTCGTTTCGCAGGGAACTCGGCGTTTCATTTTTCATCGCATCAAAAGCAGAAAGAACAACTGTTTTTCTCTTACGAGAAACGATAAGCAATCTCTCTTTTGAACGACGAGGATCAACCGTACGTGTCGTCGTGTTTTAGGCTGTAAGCTTTTTTTATACGCGGAAAGGGGGAAATTTTCAAATCGGACGCGCCAAATTTCGAGATTGATCGACTTTTTAGGTATTCGACTGAGGGCGTAAAAGATTTCGGGGCATTTTTATTCGGCTGTGTATGTTTATTAAGGCGGGTGGGGGGGATGGGAGGAAATTTTCTTGAAAAGCAAAAAAAAAAAGGAGAAGGAAATATAAGACGTGCATCGTAATAAGCGTAATCGGTTAAGATTTCGAAAATGATTAGATGAATAATTTTTGTACCCTATTTTTTTACGCGATCGCCGAGGCGATCACGAAACGAGATCGGGCAACAAGGGTCGAACGTTTTTTAATACGCGCTTTAGGACTTCTAGCTCGTTAAGTTTAGTTTAAGCGTAAAACCGCGTCGCGTAACGTATCGGTAGCTGTCGAAAAAGAGGAAGAAGACGAAGAAGAATAAGGAGGAAGGAAACGAGAAACGCGTGCCGCGGAAAGGAAAAGAAAGAGGAAAAAACATTTGGAAATGTTTCGAGGAAACTTTAATCGAAATTCTCGTTCGGGTTAACCCTCTCGAGAAGAGAAAAGAGGATTTGTTGGAGGACGAACGCCGAATAAGGGTATACGACCACGGGGGAGGAAAGACTTTTTCGTTCGGAACGAGGAATCACGGCTGAGATTTTCCTCGAATGGAAAGAAAGGGAAACAGCGGAAGAAGTCGAAGGAATTTCGGTGGAAAATAAAAGCAGCATTCTCTTTAGGGTATCGTAGTTCTTCTAACGCGTGTTTAGCTGATATTAACTAATGGGTTAATCGATATCGATTGTAAAGTAAGCGGAGCCGAAAAGATAAGGAAAGACCGATCGGACGGCAGGCAGAATAACGAGCGACGAAGAGATCGAAGGTGTGAAACAGAAGGACGACGGGGAAGAAACAATTGTGCGTGTTTTTCTTCGAGGGGAAAACGAGTAATAAGGGTTCATAGTAAAACACAAGCGATTCTTGTGCATTGCGTTTGCAAAAAATAATCAATGCTGGTAGTGCGGACCAAACGGGACAACTGACAGAGGGTGTTTTAAAGGTAAAAGGAGAAGGGAAAAGAAAGGAGAAAGGAGAAAGGAGGACGTGACGCGGAGACGACTGTTTGTCTTTGATATCGAACAGCGAGGAACGAAAGGGAAATTGGAAGAAAGAACGAGATTCGTGAAAATTGCCGCTCCATCGGAAATCAACGTCCGGGAAGACTCGTTTTTTCTAGTAATTAAACAGAAAGAAAAAAGATGAATATTTTCACGGAGCGTGCAGATGATGTCTCGAACGATTTTTATCCGTTATTATAAGTCATAATCGATTATAATATGTTCTTTTCGACATCGAATCACGCGAACGTTTCTTTTACTCGAAGGATTTTTCATTTTTTCACCTAGTACTTAATACGAAGAAAAGAACGGGAAGGGATGAAAATCGTTGGAGAAACGACGCTTCGACGATCCTACGATTGGCTACGTGGTATTCGAAAGCGATACACCATTAACGTTTAAGAATTGTGCAAAACATTTCTATCGGATTGGATGCACTTAACTGTCAGAATATGCGCATTTCGCTGTCTCGTTGAAGGGAGTATTTCTGTATCGATGTACGCGAATGTTCTGCTTCGCCTCGCGCATGCTGTCTCAGTCTTTCGATTATCGAACAATCGACGAAATTCTGTCGAATTCTTTAGAGATTAGCTACTTTGAACGAACTGGCCCGTTCGAGACGCAACGAACATATAAATTTGTACGAGTCGAATTTTAATCGGAATCGGATCGTTTCGCGAGAGAACGATTAAATATGAAAATGAAGTTTTCGCTATACGAACTCGCGCGATATAAGCATAAACGATAAAACTGAAGTCGAGTAAGCGCGAGGTCCAGGGAACTTGGAGGAAAAAGCAGTCCGAATTCGATCGATGTCTTGCAACTGTATCTATTATATATTCACGCATTAATCGCGTACCGACATCACCAAATTGTAAAAACTATTAATCCGTAGTGTACTTTCGCCGTTTCGAACTTAGGTTCAACGAGATTCAGCCCCCTGCATCGCAATAACGATCATCTTCGATGAATCATTGATCTGCCGCGAGACGAGGGGCGTTTCCAAGCGGCGAGATCTTATATACATATTCGTAGGTTACCCTTTTCACATTCTAGCGTTTATTGAAACGCGATCGCTAATATTCCCCTACCGTTACGCGTAGTTTACCGATAGTTCAAATTTTGGCGCGTTCGCCAAAAGAGGAAGAGAACGAGGAAGAGAACGAGGAAGAGAACGAGAACGAGAACGAGAACGAAAAGCAAGAAACTTGAGGGAGATAACGGTTGAAAATTTTTCGAAGAAATCGAGTTGGAGTAATCGGTAGGAACGCGCCACGGTGATCAACGATCTCGAATAAGCGAATGATTGCGAGGGATGAATGGTTCTCTATCCATCGGTGAATTTCAACCAAGCCAGGAGAGGAATAAACGAGACGAGCAAGTAGGGACGAATTCTCGTTGGCTCCTACTACTCTTTTCTTTCCGTTCCACCGCGTTTTACACTGTTTTTCCCGTCTCGGTACCGGAGGAAAGCGAAGCGACGGAGAAAATCTCGGAATGCGAGTAAACGCGGCGACGCGTTTAATCGACCACGAGAACTACGATGCCGATAACGACACGCTTTATCCGTTCGATTGTTCCTTACGGTTGTTGCGGAAACTAACCCGAAACTCGAGTCGATCCGATTCGTGTAACAAGCTTAAGGAAATTTTCTAGAATCGTCCCTTTTTAAGGAAATTCTCTTTACGTTTCACGTTCCCGAAGAGTTATACTTCAACGAACCACCGATCGAGCGTGTCGTTATTCTCGTTACGAATCACTCGATAAATCTGCGAGGTAACATCGAAACCGAACAAAGATCCCTTATTTCGAATGACTGCCACGAAAAGAAGAGAAAAATCCTTCGTCGACACTATTTAATTTAATTGGCAGACGTCTCGAGTACTCCGCAAACGGAGAAAAAGAAAACAGCCGATGGTAGCTGTTTTCCTTTTTATCTCGAGATCGTCGCGGAAAAAAGGTTCGTCCATGTTCGGTGAACGACAACGAATAAAAGAGAATCGATCGCGAATTTTAATCGAGGAGGGCTGTTTAAAACGGAAATCTCGTGGTCGAACGTGGCGACGACGACGCGTTTCGACCGAATTGCTTTTCGTTCGATAAATCATTGCCTCAATCGCAGACTTTCGTCGGCGTTTCAGCGCATAAAATCGTTTGTCGCTCGATGAAGAATTCCGTGCGACAGAATCTCGATATTTCTCTTCTAAAAATAATCGTATCTATCGATTAATCGGAACAAAGAAATTGAAAAATTCCGAACGTAGAAATTGTAAAATACATCCTTCGGCATAAGAAAATAACGAGGTTCTAGCGTAAAACGGTCGCCGATTTCAAAACGAGAAGCAGAGTCGAAGTTAGCTCGACGATACCTCCCCTATAAAGAGTACAAATTTTTCTAACCAAGATGATTATATTCGAGCGACGAAACGGAATTATTGCCACGAGGAAGCAGCGGTAGAAAGACGGAAACGGATGCGTGAAGCGTGCGTAAAAAGGGGACGAGAAAGAAGGGGATGCGTTACCAACAACCCAAACACGTTAGCATCAAAGATAGGAAAGAGATTTTTCCCTGGTTAACGATATAGTAGGAGTTCTTTTAAGCGCGATATAATAGCGATACGAGAATTCGCAAATGAATCTATCGTAACGCGGTACCGCAAACTTTTATCTAGAATTTAGGACTCGTTCAAGGTGTATGTCGCACGATACGTATAATTATAATACATATTATGATCGTATATACATTTAACGACGATTACGCATCACTTGTACGTTTAACGTTCTTACAATTAGACTGCCATTAGCACTTAAGGCGCGGCTTCGCTCTATTTATCTCGAATTATCCCGAATTCTCTCAGGTAACGCGGCCGAGGGAACTGTGTTGCTCGCAATTCACCGTGGAACAGGAATTTCCATAAACTTTTCCGCGAAGTTGTATTTTTCGGAAACTCGACACGTTTTCGGATGGAATGCTTGCAACTAGTTCTCATTGACGCAACTCGTAATGCTTATTCGTCCCACGGAAACAAAAGAGAGAAAAAGAGAGAGGGTGATGCCTACTTTCTTCGATATCATTTTTTTTATTCGGAAGCGCAAGAAAAATTTGTACGCAATCACAAATAGGAACCATAACCGAGCTATAGCGAAATATACTATCGCAATTAACGCGCTCCTAGATCATATATTTCTGCATGGTACTCTAAGGATCGTTAAAGGGGTACCCTCTCTCGGAATGCCGAGCTGATGTCTTAAGTGAAAACTACTGGTGCATTATAATCAACGGTAAGAAACATAGGAGAATCGCGCGCAGGAAAATCTGAAATCTTAATTAGTGCGCGCGTATGCTTGTGCGTATAGAGAAAATGCGACGAACTAGATATTCGTAACTAGAACCTTTCATGTGTTTATTGCATGCAGTCCCGCTCTCTAGGTTCAGATGAAATGCTATCCTTACCTATATGTCTCCTCCGATTCGCCTCCTAATTCTATGGGAAAATACGTACATAAGACTAACAATCGCGCGACCAACTAACGAACACGTGTACACGTTACGCGTACAAACTATTCACTCACTGTTTATCATCGATCGACGATTTTTCGAACAGTTTCCTTACCATCGAGAACATTAACTTTGTAGCCCGTGCGAGTTGCTCGGTCGTGTTTGTCCCAGCCAACGGTAAATCAATTAAAAAGAGCAATCTCGAGGACATCCGAATCCATTTTTCGAGCGATTTCTTTTCGACGGAACACAGCTGCACGCTGCGCGTCGAATCTTGGCTCGGAAAACGAAATTTTCTTTCGAAGGAAAAATTTTTGTCGCTGCAGCAAGTAGATCGACGGGAAACGTGTACTCTTGCTGACTCTCACCAGCCGACGAAATCGCGTTCTCTTTTGGCCGAAAATCAATGAAACATAAAGGAACGAAGCTCCTGATTCGACGACGCGGATTCCAGAAAAGAAAATTGATCGCGCTCGAAAAATAGCTTTCGAATCCGCGAACGAAACTGCCGACGAATGTAAACCGTTCCAGCCTTCGATTTTTCTCAGGCGTTTTTTAAACGCGTTTCGTGAACCTCGAAATTCAGACTGATCCTTCGTAGACGACCTACGGTAATTTATAAGAAAAAGAAAAAGAAAACATAACGAAGAAAAATCGCGTGGATCAAGAATCGTTCGAAGCAATTCTTAGACTTCCTTTTTCTTTTAAGAAAGTTTTGCTCGACAGACGCTTAAAAAATGAAACGAATACAATGCGGCGAACATCGTCCATTCGACGACTCCATATCCGAACGTTCAAGAGTTGCTTGATAGTTCGAATATCCGTAATTATTTACTCGAGCATCGGCTGGACGATCGACGTCGCGCATAAAAATGAAAAGAAATTACGTTTGCACTTTTGCACACGAAATATATTTTTGATAATAATCTATTCAAAAGTGGTCTACAAAAAAAAAAAGAAAAGAAAAGGAAGGAACGAAAAACACGGAACGAGAAGGAAGAATTTTTGTAGTAGTAGCGATCGTCGTAGTTGGTAGAAGTAGTAGTATTAGCAGTAGTAATAGTAGTAGCAGCAGTGGTAATTAATGCTAGTATTTATTAGTAGTCTGTCGAGCAATATTTTGTGAAATTTCTAACGTTTATTTGAACGCGCGCTACGTCCTTGATCACGCGATCGATCTTCGCGTACGTACACTTCGATATACATACATATATTCTGACTAAAACTCGACTGAGCTTTCGATTAGGGAATTTTAGGTATTTTTCAGGAGCTTTTCCGCATAATTAATACATATACGATACCAGCGAGCCTCGTTTTAGGCTCAAGACCTTCGATAAATCTGCCACTGGAATTGGTCCTCGAGAATATTCAGGTGTCGCGTTGAATATATCCTATTCAATCGTTTCTAGTTAACGATATATGCTAGAGAAAGAATTTCCACGACGACGTGGTAATTCTCAACGAATCCTACTTAGCCTATATCTACGATTATACGATGTCTAATCAAATTTCTTAACGCTATTTACCGAACACGGTGAGAAAGACACTTGTACAAAAGTACAGACACTGTGCTGGAGTTAAGTATCCAAAACGCGAGTTCAACCGTACTAAAACATGTAGCCAAACGATTGCCACCGATATGAACAGTAATCGTTGAAAAGCGCATCTCGTCAACGCGTTGATCGATTCGATCATCGCCGTTTTCGTTCGCAGTTTATGGAGTAGATAGAAAATTTAACCCTTGCGTTAACACCGTTCACTGCCATACCGGAAATCAGCGTCGTAACCATTTTATTGTTCGCGATTCGATCTCTCAGTTTGTAACGAAAATGTCGTTTAGTTCGCTCGAGGGAATGGCAGTCGACGCGTTAATAACTGCTGGGTACGTACCTACCTACCTACCTACCTACCTACCTACCTAACACTTGCACGCGGATATTAAAAAATTTATGATCACCCTTTTAGAATACTGTAGGGTATCGTATTAACCGTTAGCCGAACAATAACAGCGAGAATCTTGGATATAAGGAAAAAACGAGAGACAAATGTATTTTAAGATCCCTGCATATCCTCGTTTTTCGAATAATATGACAAAAATGACGCGCGATTTTATCTCCTTCGATGTTATGGCCGATTACAGTAATAATACTACCTATGCCGCGATAGAAATTTCAAAACGAAAATTATCGAAAAGTTCTTTATAGCGACTAAAATTATTTTATTCGCGTTTTTATAACAATTTGCATAATTTAACGAAGAAATGACCTTCGTGAAAAGTTGAACATTCTGAAACATTGAAATGTTAATACAAGGGTTAATTGGGAATTCGTGTAAAACGAGACAAGAACACAAGATTGATGCGGTTAGTAAGGAAGAAAAACTATTATCACGCGAAACTCGATGGAACATACACGTAGTCGTTTTCAACAACCGTGAACACAACAAACCCTATTAATTATCATTCTATCGTTAGAATATAAGAGTTGATATTTAAGAATTCGTATTGTAATAATTGTATGCGACTATATTTGTTTGGTTGGCTTGAGGGCGAGAGTCTAACTCGGGTGTTATTAGATACTACGCTGTACCTTTAGCTGGTGGGCAATCGGCAATCGGATTATTTTCAAGAAAACGCTGAACAGAAAACAGCGACAGTGACTGCTAGTCTCGCGACGATTCTGGGAGACGTTTCTCGTCCTTCCAACTTTAAAGAAAATTCTCGTTTTCACGCCAGTTCAGGTTATAAAAGTTTCTACGTATACGCGATTCCATAATGGCGCGATAAATAAATTTTAGCATTTCCTTTCAATTTCGGCGCACCGATATTATTTCCGAACGAATCCTAAAAAGCAAATAACGTAAAGAAAAACAAACGACTTTTCGATCGTCGCGAGAATGGATCGAATCTATCGAATCACCGCTAGTAAAACGTACAAAGCAAGAGGAACGTATTCTCGACGCGCGAACAGCGAATTCGTCGATCGAGAGGAACAACTCGACGCTGGGCGTCGAAGTCATCCGCGACCGCGAAGAGGTAGGTGGTACGCACTCGTGACAAAAAAGAGAAACAAAAGTAGAGAAGACGGAATAACGGAAATTGCGAAGGGCAGTCGAGAATACGGTTCCCTCTGAACGAGCGAAGGAAGAGGGGGTGATTCGTTCGCGAAATTAATTTGGAATCGTAGATAGCGAAAAGAACGAGGGGGGGAATAAGAAGAACGGGATTGAAAATTGAGGGTTGAGCGAACGAAGAACCGGTTGTGCCCGCCGGCGACTTTGAGGGGGAAGATAGACGCACGATGAAGCGGAAAGTAACGAAGGATGATTTACGATTGAAAAAGATATATTATCGATAAGCTGTGTCGATCGAGAGCTAGTGCTTAACACGTGGTTAGGGTCGTTTCTTCGAGAGAACAAACGAATTCTGTCGAACGGTCGGCGGGGGAAAATGGCTGGAACGCGTAGCTGACTAATAAAAATAAAAGAGAGAAAAAAGAGAAGGCCTATTACGGTGGGAAAGGAGCGAAATTTGTGCGGATCTCGAAGAAACGACTCGCCTTTAGTCTTTTAATATTTTACTCGAGGACGTTGCCGATGGGGTTTAGGCTTGGCCGTTGACTCGAATTTTCAGGGATAGCCAGAGGGTCAAGGCCGCGAAGCACCAAGGGAATAATAGGCTTTCCTCGAACCCCGTCGTCATCGTCGCGCTAAATACGAGTTCGCGTTAATTAATCGATGCTCTTGGACAGAGCGGAGGACACGGTCAATATGGTCCTGGCAGTTTTATCGGGCTTACGTCGTCCCTTTTCCGTTCCTCGTCCATTTCGTCGACCATTTTCCTTTTCCCTTTTTCCTTTTTCCTTTTTCCCCCCGACCTTCTTTTCCCCAACATCCGTTTCGATCGTTATTTCTGCTCGTTGATTCGTGGGACCGACGAAAGGGACGACGTACACTTTAGAAATACTACACCCGTAAGCATTGCGCGCGTCTAGGTTAAAAAAAAGGGTAAGCAGGAGAAAAAAAATGAAAAATGGAGAGATTGAAACCGAGCGAAAGCGAGCGTCGAGAAAGGAGGTGCGAATGAAAGATGCGTACACGAATGGATGAGAATGGAAAAATGTTGAGAAAAAAATATGAAGCAAGAAATTTTTTCGCGAAACGGCAATTTATTGAGAGAAAAAGAGGAACACGGCATCGATGATGAGACGCGACGATTTATAATTAATTATATTGGGGGGGAGGGGGGTGTGAGGGATGGACAAACGGAAGAGAAAAAGAAATGAAAAGTAATACAATTAGCGTGTGAGGATCGAGCTTTATACCGCTTTTATATGTTTAGTAATGGAATACCTTTACAATTAAAGAGTAAATGAACAAAAAAATAAAATAATAACGATAATGGTAATAAGGAATACAACAGAAAAAACCTACGCAAACCTACTATGTAATTGACTATTCTCTATATGCGAAATACATATACATAATATATATATATAAATAAATATAGATATATATATATATATATATATATATATTATTATGATTATATATATATTATGATTATTACGCTATGAGAATACGAGTATGGATGATTTTAAGGAAAGTATACATATTATATTAATAAACATTTTTTAATACCACTATCCTAAAGATAATGGTGAAACGAAGTGAAATGAAAAAAGAAAAAGAAAAAAAAGAATAAAAAAAGTAATTGAAATCTTCTCGCGTGTCTCATTTATTCCTCCGTTTATTTTGAAACTGTCGAGATTTCCTGCTCCGATATCGTTTAAAATTTATTTCAATATTTACCTTTTCCTTCCAGCATTCCCCCAAACGTTTATCGACACTCTCTACCAAGTAAATTCGATCGAGATAAAAATCGATCCTGCAACCCTTGCAGGACGGATCAGGAAAGGGTGGTGGGTAGGGGGCCTCGACGAGAAACGACGCCTGTCACGAGACCAAGTTAAAAACCGTGGAAGCCCGGTGTCTGTAATTGGCTGCCAGTTAATTACACGCCACGTCGCCCGTCATATAAACGAAAATCCATCCGTCACTCGTCCTGCCAGCCACGGGGTTGATAATAATTAAACCGTCCGGAATGAGGTCGCGGAGAGCAGCGGGGCGAGCCGTGGAGGATTTAAACGGCGCGGCGGATCGAAAGAGCCAGGCGTACGTTAAGAGAAGGACAACCGTGGAAATGGGGGAAATTTGATCAAGAGAGATTACACGCGTTCGACGTTGTTATCTTAGAACGATACCGAACTGGAAACAGTGGGGGTAAGCGTGAAATTTTTTGAAACGTTTCGTCTGACCGGACTGGTCGATTCGAGTGGTACGCGCTTCAAAATCGATACCGATCACCACGCGAGCAACAATTTTCTTTATTTAGCGTATACGAAAGTGTTCCGATAAAATAATAACGCTGCAGATTAGGAGGTACACGCTATCGTAGTCCAGAGAGTTTTAAATTCGGGTAGATCCTTTGCGTATCGAGAGCGGGCCGGCGCATAGAGGGATGCATTTTTTGTAGCCCATCGACTGTGGGTCGATTCGCAACACCTGCTCAATTATACGGCACGTCGCATGTTGTAATCGGAGATCCATCGGACGATCGCTGACGTGGAACCTTTTCCTCTCCTCTCCGCTCCTGGGAATTGCGTAGCTCGTTCCGGCCCTTGATGGGACATCAAAGATCTACCGTGAAGGGACGGAAAGTTTGGATCCTGTTCGCGTCGACTTCCTTTTCCCATCGGAGTTGACAAACTCTTAAAAACGCGTCGAGAAAGAAATTGAATTCGTTCGCGATTGGCAGGACGCGACGCGTCGGCTAAACTATACGCTTGTTTTCCTGTCTTTTCGCGGCACATAATATTTTAATGTGCGTATACGTATAGAATCTTGCCTGTCCGAATAACATAAACAATGATCCTTGCTGTCGGCAGTAACAATCGTTTTATCGAAATACGGTGTCTCGAAAGGCGTGCTCGTATTTCACCGAAACGATCGATTCGCTAATTGCGCGCTATCAATTTTTTCATCCATTGTCCATTAAAGGTGGACCAGTATTACGTTCGTGAACCGTTTCCCGCGGACGATAGTCGCCTGATCGATCAGCGATGCACAGCCTTTCTTAGGTTTCGAAGAGGACCCTCGGCTTTCACCGATGGACCAATTAATTCCAGACTATTCCTCGTGGGAAAGAAATTTTCCTATCTTCTACCTTACAGCTTATAGATAAGTAACGCGCGGCATTATACGCGACCTATAGATCAGCCACGTTTGCCTTTAAAGGGTTAGAGCGTATCACGGACACTTCAGGAAATAAATATACGAAATACTGTTAAAGTATCAGCGATTCCGGTTGGTCGTTAAGTAAATGACAGGAAGGAGATCGATTTCTGGAGAAACGTTCGAGCGTCTCGATTAGAGGTTAATGGAGAAATTTAATTTCTCGGGCCATTGCTCGCGAGCGGATGGCGGTTATCGGTGCACGTCGTCGTGTCTGCTAGGCGAGACGAAATGCGCGCGCGCGTACACACGCCATACGGAGAAGGAAAGGATACGCAGAAGGGAGAAGAGCAGGTACGTAGATAAAAGTATCCAGTGTCGGTGAGGGGCAGGGGATTATAAATTGGCTACTTTGTGTCGCGGTTATTGGGGGGCCAAATTGCGAACGACCATCCATCCATTTCCTGGACCTCGCCGTCTCGTCTTCCGACGCTAGCCACTTTTTCACTACGCAGTGTTTTTGTCGGCGTCGTTAACGGACCGGAAAGTTTGTTAGGAACCGCGATTTTTAGCTACGAAGAGATAGACGGACGATACTTTGAAATTATGCCAGTATTCAGATTTACCAGAGTCCTGAAAAGTTCAGCGCTTTATCGCGATTTATCGAATCCCGCTAGTTGTTCCAACGATTCGAAGAGAGTTTTCTTTTTTTAACGCCACTCTCGAGGGTGGCGCGTGCTAGGACGTTATTGGATCCCGTGAGCTACCCTCGTTACCGATACCGCACCACGGTCAGCGGTAAATGTGTCACGAATGCGGTGTGCTTAGGCGGAGACCGGTCTTAGGTTATCGGTCGCAGGTGGTAAACGATTTCGCTCGATTTCCAAGGGTCCGTGAATATTTATGGCGGTCCAAGGTCTCGGAGTCTACTTGGACCGCAGCCATCGGTAACGGTACCCTAAATTCACCCCGAGAGTCGGATAGGGTGCCCTGAATGTATTTGGGTTACCACGGTGTTCTACATCTCATCTCGGTAATATCTCGGAACTTTGCTCGATTAGGTTTGCTTCCTTCCAGATGGTGGACGTAACTTCGCTTACCTTGCACGATATTTTACCGTCGAATCGATTCGTTTCCCCCTTCCACGATTATTCTCGCGTATACGAACACTAATCGATCGTTCGAATTAATAACCGACTATTTCATTTTATTTTCGTCGAACTTTAAGTTTCGATTCACGAATTCGGTAAGACGAATGAAATTTTTAAACGGTTCGGATGAAATCGTTCGAAAGGGAAAATTACCGAACGCGAGCTCCTTGAATTCGCGATTTCTTCACGCTTCCAGTCGGTTCCCCGTCATTTCCAAGCAACGAAGCGTATCCACCGAAGCGGAGAATGATCGACGGGGCGCGAGAACGCTAAGGATAAACGTAGGAGGACGTAGGGAGGCGTAAGATTCACCGACACCCCAGGGTCCATTGACAAATTTGCCAACGGGCAAAAAGCCTGTTTGGTATGCATCCCTTGCTCGATCCATCGGCCATGCAAGACCGAGTCTAGCTTCTCGAGGCGCGTGTACGTGACGCGTGACGTGCGTCAACTCCCCTCAGTCTGCTTCCTGCGAAATATACCGTGGAATACGCGCGTTCCTCTTATCCATCCTCGAGATCTCGCGTCGGCAAGTTTTTTTTTAACGAGCCGCCCCTCTGGCGCGTCGCTGCGATTTTCTTTCGAAAGGTTCGGAGCTTGATCGATGACACCTTTCGCGAGCCTCTTCGAGAGATGTTTCGTCTTTATTACATTCGAAAGTTGATCGAGAGCCACTCGTCGTCCCCCGTCGAGACGCGTTTCTTTCGCGACGAGTTCCGTTATAACCGAACTTCTTACGGGCTTCTTTCGCGTTTTTCTCGCCGGA